TGAGACAACTTATAGCTGCATATGAAATTGAGGAAAGAATTCTAGCAGCAACTAAAAGTGCAGTCAAAAAAGGGAATTGCCCGCTTGGCTCGCCTCAGGTCTTTTTTGCTTTTGCAGATGGCAATCTTGACCTGAATACAAATATACCACAGTAAGCACCACAAAGAGTGGGCTGATGCTTTCCTCAAGTATATGCATGACCTATCACACAATATTTCTCCAGAAGTCTGAGGCTGCTTAATGCAGCATCAGTGGCAGGTAGGATCATCCAGTAGTTCCTGATGCCCAATTTAGGATTCCTCTTGGCCCTCAGACCAACCAAGCAATGGTACCTGGGGCTGGCAACAAGCCCACCATCCTTTTCTCCGTGCAACCTCCATTAAACAAAGCTCCTGCAGCTTTCTTGATGGATCCAGGGAGGCTGCTGACCAAAATGCCAGGAGATGCTGAAGGATGAGAAACCACAGAAAGCTTATTCATGCCTCACGCTCCAACTGTGCTGCCAAAATCCTGAACACAAGCCAAGTGTCTGCAACCATTTTCAAGGAACACCATATAACCAAAAGACTGTTCGAATTCATCCTACCTGAAAATCAACCAATATGTTCCCATCCCTCTTCTCTGTTCCCAATTACATTAAGAAAAATTAGCCATCTGGCAACACTATTTTTCTTGGTACCCAAATCATCTTCCCAACAGCGCTGTAACAACCATTTAATTACCTAACGGCACCAGATTCTGTCAGAATCTAAGCAGGGCCAGCCCTGGATGGGAAACTTGGATGAGAAACAACCAACAAATATCAGGAGCTACAGAGTATGAAATTCATGGAGTCACCACAAGTCAGGCATAACTTGAAGGCATATCTCTGTAATCTCTTGCATTATCAAACATGTCTCTCCATAATCCATCCGACACTCCAATATGTATTTTTCTCTCTGCTGAAACCTCCCCTCAAAACATCCAATACTCAGATATCAGTGTCTATATTTACCTTACCCAATCGCACTCTCATCAGTCCTCCAATTACTAGAAATCCTTGGATTGAACTTTTACATCAACAGCCTTATTATGCTTTATTTGGGAGAGGGAGTGCACAGAATTAAGCCGTTTATTTGCTCCCCCAAAGACACACATTCGTCTTCAATTCCCCTTTTAGTTTTTTTTTTTTGCTCAAGCGACCCATAAATTATCCAAACATGATACTCCAGTCATTATCTCTGGTGAATGCCAATGTTCCCCTTTAGCCCAGCCTAAAAGGCATCTGCTGCCCCAAAACAAGAATTACAGCCCCCCAAATGTTCCTTTAATTACCCTTCTTTGGAAATCACCTGCACATCAGAGAAAACACGCCTCACAATTCTCTGCTAAAAGATTGCATCATTTCCCTTCAACCTCCTCTCTGCTGAAGAACTTATCATCACTGAGGTCCCTCTGAGACATGACACTTCTTCAATCCTCCATGGTAAAGAGACACCCCAACATCCGCACCCTTTCTCCAAGGCTCCTTTTACATTGCCATATAATCCAGATTATCAAAGCAGACAACTGTTTTGAAATGTATTATATAAGTCTACAAGTGCCATATAATCCAGTTCAAATCAGATAATCTGGATTTTACATGGCAGTGTAGGGCCCCATCCACACAGCTGTATAAAATCTACATTGAACTGGATTATATGGCAATGTGGACTAAGATAATCAAGCTCAAAGAAGATATTGTGGATTATCTGCATGGATATTCCGGGTTATATGACTGTGTAGAAGGGCTCTAGAATAGTGGTTCCCAACTTATGGCCCTCTACTTCCAGAAACCCTAACAGCTGGTAAACTGACTGGGATTTATGGGAGTTGTAGGCCAGAACACTTGGAGACACCCAGGTTGAGAACCGCTGCTCTAGGAGGTGCCCAAGAAGAACTTCCAACCACCACAGAAGTCCATCTGAAGCTCCACACTTCTTCAGTGTAGAAGAACGGTTCCCCAGCCTCAATGCCTCTCTCTCTTCTATGAAGAACCTCCTTCTGAAGCTTCAAAACTAACCCTCAATCCTAGAAGAAGAAAAACTCAAGTGTTTCCAATGAAACACCACTTAGGCCCCTTCCACACAACAGTATAAAATCTCACATTATCTGCTTTGAACTGGGTTATATGGCAGTGTGGACTCAGGTAACCCAGTTCAAAGCAGATATTGTGGATTATCTGCTTTGTTATTCTGGGTTATATGGCTATGTGGAAGGGCCCTTGGAAGTCTTTCTGAAGACCCACACCTCTTCCATCCTCCATGGAAGAAAGATATCCCAACCTCAACAAGCAGCTTCCCATTGTGAACTTCCTACCACCAAGATAGTCTCTACGAAACTCCACACTTGTTCAATCTTCAGTGCCAGGCGGTTCACAGTGCCAGACTCAAGGCGGTTCACAGTCAGCAATGATTCGATGCCATAACAATTACCAAAATACAGTTAAAACAACTATAAAAACAATTCAACATTTAAAATGTAATATAAAAGAAACAATAATGTCTATAAAACAAAATCCTCAGTGTTTCCTTACAAAAATCTTTGTCCAATTGCATCGTCAGTCTCCCCAAGGGACTTGGTGCGGCTTACATGAGGCCAAGCCCACAGTACATCAATAACAGAAACAATAACAAAACAATCAATGCAATACAATTAATATAAATCACATAAACAAAAACAATAAACAGTAACACACAAGCATTTAAAAGCAATGGCCAGGCCAAATGTAATAATTTAAAATTTAAAAAATAACGCTGGGCATTTTTTTGTCGTATCAGGAGCGACTTGAGAAACTGCAAGTCGCTTCTGGTGTGAAAGAATTGGCCGTCTGCAAGGACGTTGCCCAGGGGACGCCCAGATGATTTGATGTTTTTATCATTCTTGTGGGAGGCTTCTCTCATGTCCCCGCATGAGGAGCTGGAGCTGATAGAGGGAACTCATCCGCCTCTCCCCGGATTCGAACCTGCTACCTGTCGATCTTCAGTCCTGTTGGCACAGGGGTTTACCCCACTGCACCACCGGGGGCTCCGCTGGACATGAACCGGTAGGATAACTGGTATAGGGTTTTCAAAAAGAGATGAGGGAACGCAGTCAGTCCTAAATCAGTGGTAAAGTGCATTTTGAGGGCATACTGCTGAGAGTTTTCCTTATTCTGGGAAGGCACACTAGAACAACCACGTTTTCAGGCTCCTCCTAAAAACTGCCAGAGATGGGGCATGTCTGATGTCCTTGGGAAGTGAGTTCCTGAGTCGGGGGGCCACCACCAAGAAGGCCCTTTCCCTCGTCCCCAACAATCGCGCCTGCGAAGGAGGTGGGAACGAGAGCAGGGCCTCTCCAGATGATCAAAGAGATTGTGTGGGTTCGTACACAGAAATGCAGTCACGCAGGTAGGCGGGTCCCAAACATGAAATATAAAATACATAATCTATATAAATAAAAATGTAATGTTCGTTTGTGGTATTAACAAAACTCAAAAACCAGTGGGCCAATTGACACCAAATTTGGACACAAGACACCTAACAACCCAATGTATGTCCTTCACTCAAAAAAATTGATTTTGTCATTTGGGAGTTGTACTTGCTGGGATTTATAGTTCACCTACAATCAAAGAGCATTCTGAACCCCACCAACGATGGAATTGAACCAAACTTGGCACACAGTTCTCCCATGACCAACAGAAAATACTGGAAGGTTTGGTGGGCAGTGTCCTTTAGTTTTGGAGTTGTAGTTCACCTACATCCAGAGATCACTGTGGACTCAAACAATGATGGATCTGGACCAAACTCTACACGAATACTCAATATGCCCAAATGTGAACACTGGTGGAGTTTGGGGGAAACAGAACCTTGACATATGGGAGTTGTAGTTGCTGGGATTTATAGTTCACCTACAATCACAGAGCATTCTGAACCCCACCAACGTTAGAATTGGCCCAAACCTCCCACACAGAAAAGCCATGTGGGCCACAGCAACACGTGACAGGGGAAGGCTAGTATACTATAAAATACATGTAATATAAAATACACAATTACAATATCATATTATTATTATTAATAATAATATTATACTGTATGATGATGCAGTTTTGGAATGTTAATTATCTTTTTTTTTAATGAAACAATACTGAAGATGAGCCCATTTATTCCCTCCATCCCCATAATATAACTTGCCCATTGGGGTGAATTAATTTCAGCCTCTTTTATTGACTCCTTCAAACCCAGATTGACTTCTGAAATGGGAGCCCTTTCCTCTATATCGATGTCAAATAGAGAGAGGGCCAAGATTTCCCTTGGAGGGATAATTCGAACTGCCAGAGATGGGGCATGCCTGATGTCCTTGGGAAGTGAGTTCCAGAGTCGGGGGGGCCACCACCAAGAAGGCCCTCTCCCTCATCCCCACCAATCGCGCCTGCGAAGGAGGTGGGAGCGAGAGCAGGGCCTCTCCAGATGATCAAAGAGATCGTGTGGGTTCATACACAGAAATGCGGTCACGCAGGTAGGCGGGTCGCAAACATGTAACATAAAATACATCATATAATATAAAATACATAATTATAATATCATATTATTAATATTATACTGTATGATGATGCAGTTTTGGAATGTTAATTATATTTTTTTTAAATGAAACAATACTGAAGATGAGCCCATTTATTTCCTCCATCTCCATAATATAATTTGAATTATTTTCAGCCTCTTTTTATTGACTCTTCAAACCCAGACTGACTTCTGAAATGGAGATTTCCCTTGGAGGGAGAATTCCCCACTCCCTCAGCAGGACCACCATGTTGGAGCCTCTTCCATCCTGGGAAGGAGGCCTTCCTCCCAAAAGACCAACGCCAGAAACCCCCATGGCAGGCTCTCCCCCAAAAGGGGGCGCCCCTCTCCCCAGTGGGGCCTTCAGGAGACAAGCAAGCCTTCCTCGCGTAGAGGAGACCCCCGGCCTGCCTTTCCCTGGGCCGGCCTCCCTCCCTCCATCACCTGCGCTGCTGCGGCGGAGGAGGGTCCCACTGCGGGGGTCGCAGCGTGGCGGCTGTCGTGGAGGCCGCCCCAGGGCCCCGAAGAAGGAGGGAAGCGGCTGCCGCTGCGGCTCCTCCACCGGCGGCACTCTGGGCGCTGCGCCTGCTGCAGCCTCCGCCCCCTGCCGCTGCCCGGCGCCGACTGACAAGCCGCGGCTGGGGCACGCCTCTTTTGTATGGCCACGCCCCCTTTGGGCTCCTCCCCCTTTGCTCTAAGCTCGACCAATCACCGCCTTCGGGGAAGTCGGAAGGCGGGGATAAGACTGTCCCCGCCTACATTGAGACGCCCTACGCAACCCCCTTAGGCATTCTACGCATGCGCCAAATAGGAACGCCGCTATTTTCCCTCATATCCCAAAGAGGTGAGGATAGAGTGGTTTCCACTTCCGGTACTTTTGGGAAAAAGGCTTGTCGCCATTTGAGTGGCAACAATGAAAATAGAGATTTGGAAGGCTAATGTTTTGTAGCCAAGAGGTGGATAATAAACATATTATCTTATCTCAATCCAAACATACATATTTAATAAATCATGTCAAAAATTGGGAAGTTCTATTTCCAAATCTGACATCCTTTGAGGAAAAGCCACGCATTGGGAGCCGGAAATAGTAGGGTGANTTTCTGATGGAGCTATTTTTATTATGACTGCATGGGAGATCATTTCGTCACGTGAGCCTCCATCTCCATCCCTGATGGCTCAGTGAGAATTAGGCCAAAGTATAAACAAGTAAATTGCAAAATACAGTGCTTTTCTTCTTCTTTCTTTCTTTCTTTGCCATATTTTGCCCCTGAGGCATGACCTCATTACTCATAAATTACCTTGATCTCCTTTGACCAGATGGCACTCATTTCTTTGACATGGGGTAGATGCATTTCATGCAGATGTCCAGAAGGTTAAGAAGACTGAGTGGCTAGAGGAACAATTTTCAATTTTTTTGGCAAAAAAGGATAATTACCTTAAATGCTCCAAATTTGATTTAGGGCTGCTGTCTTCTACAAAGTTAGGTCAGGTGGCACATCATCAACAATCCAGGCTGCCAATCAGATACTGTCTCATAATATGGCAAAGCTCAGGTTTATTAGATAGTCAGATTTAAACCTTCATCTCCTCCTCCTTTTTCCCGTTATCAGGTCTAGCTTAGCATAAAAAAATCTGTTGGGCAAGTTGTCCCCAGGAGCCATCATTATAAACTTCAAAAGAACCATGATGGACCATACCAAAAATATTCTAGGGGTTCCCAGCAGTGGGTATGATTATTCATGGATTTGATCAATATGGTTTCGCTAGAAATCTTTAAATCCCCCAGAACAACATGATGGTCAACTTCCAAGCAAGCTTGTTTTCTGCTTCACTGGAGACTAGGACGCGGAACAATGGCTTCAAACTACAAGAGAGGAGATTCCATCTGAACATGAGGAAGAACTTCCTGACTGTGAGAGCCGTTCAGCAGTGGAACTCTCTGCCCCGGAGTGTGGTGGAGGCTCCCTCTTTGGAAGCTTTTAAACAGAGGCTGGATGGCCATCTGTCAGGGGTGATTTGAATGCAATATTCCTGCTTCTTGGCAGGGGGTTGGACTGGATGGCCCATGAGGTCTCTTCCAACTCTTTGATTCTATGATTCTATTCCAGCAGAAATTGACTGTAAAGCAGGCATGGGCAAACTGTGGCCCTCTAGGTGCTTTGGACTTCAACTCCCACAATTCCTAAGAGCTGGTAGGCCGTTTGGAATTGTGGGAATTGAAGTCCAAAGCACCTAGAGGGCCAAAGTTTGCCCATGCCTGCCCTAGAGTCACCAGAGAACCTAGAGATTCCTGAAGATACCATGTTACTCAGATCCATGAATAATCAAACCCGAAAAAGTTGAATTTGCAAATGTGGAGGACTATATTTTTAATGCAGTGGTGACTTTGTAAGTCATATCAAAAGAAATTAATCTAATCAGTGGAACCTGATAAACAGTTTTATGGAAATGGTGTATGTCGAGGAAGTCATTTTAGTTGATGAAATGACTTTCTTTCTGTACTAGATGATCTCTTTTAAGGAAAAGGAGGAGAAAGAAGGAGATGGGCAAGTTTTCTATTAAAATTTTCCCCACTGATGGGAAGGAAAAATTGAGAAGAAGGTGGAAGGCACACATTCATTCTGTCCTACATTATGTGTCATATAAATGCAAAAAAGTTGCTATGAGTATCACTTTAACTGGAAGCAGACATTGTTAATGTCAGCAGTATATGCAAACTTTAATAAGATATTTTTCTGCAGTGAACATATAACTTCTGAAGGATTTACTATTTCAGAAGGAAATAGGCCCATGATTTTCACTTACATCTCAACTCCCTGATAACATGGAATTGGGTAGCAATTCCACATACAAAAGCTTCTGTCATGGAAAACCTTTCATAATCATTCTTTTGAGATACTGGCGCTGCTCTAAAAAAAATAATTCAAAAATGCAAGTTTCCCCCTGGATCTCTGCTTGTTACACTCAACGTTTTCATGGCTGTTGTACTTTATTGATTTTTAAATATATCGTTCAAACCAGTTGAGTGGAGAAATGTGCTGTCATATGTATGCATGGCTCTTACAGCCTGGTGCTTTTAAAAATAAAGCTTTTTAAAATGATCTTATGCCCTGATGTTACTGTAATGCATGGTATGATCGGCTGCCTTTAACAATGGTCCTGAAATTTGATCTTGCACAAAATATGGCTTCAAGAGTATGGCCTGGAATAGACATTTTCGAATATATTTTGCTAGTTTTCTAATACCGAATCCATTCCCTACCTTGTTTCAAGACCTGATTTAAACTAGATGTACACATATTACTTTTTTAGTTTATAATTCCCAGAATTCCTCAGCCAGTATCAATGCTCCCTGGGAATTCTGGAAGATAGAATCCAAAAAAGGGGGAAATTTCTTATCTCTTATATTTAGTCCATGAACTTCTCCACAGTTTCAGACAACAGGACCTCGAAAGATTGTCTCTCCCAATGCATTTTTTACCTGTGTCTTGAGATCATCCAGGGCAAGACAACAGGTCAGCGAAAATGCATATTTTCGCACATAGAAGAACCATGGTTCAATCCTAAAACCACGTCAAGCACTCTACCTGAAACCTTGAAGAACCACTATTAGTTTGTGTTGACAATATTGGACTCAGACTGTTAATTAATGTTAGGCAACTGTCATATTCCTATGTCAACAAAGCTGCTACTCTGATGTAGGGATCCATAGCTTTATGCATTTCACCCATTCCTGCAAGAATGATTAACAACATGAGAACCTATATTCATTTTTAAGTGATTTTTTTTCACACTCTGGGCGTATTTTTGTGTAAAAGTTATTTGTAAGAAACTGGGATTTGTGAGACAAAACTCATTTTTTTGGACCAACCCCCTAATTATGGGCATAGAAAATAATCAATTTTGCATAAAATATTACTGATTTCTTGATGCATCTTTTTCTCCTTCCTTGCAGTGTTTTATCAAGACACAGATGAGTGACTGTATTACAAATGGCAGGGAGCCACTATAATAATAGCAACTTTGCAAGAACATTGTTCTCGATAAAACAGTTATGAGTAGAGACATCACACAGGCAATGAAGATCTGCATAGTTCAAACCATGGTATTCCCTGTAGTATCCTATGAATGTGAGAGCTGGACCATAAGGAAGGCTGAGCGAAGAAAGAGATGCTTTTGAACTGTGGTGTTGGAGGAAAGTTCTGAGAGTGCCTTGGACTGCGAGAAGATCCAACCAGTCCATCATCCAGGAAATAAAGCCCGACTGCTCATTGGAGGGAAGGATACTAGAGACAAAGTTGAAGTACTTTGGCCACATCATGAGGAGACAGCAAAGCCTAGAGAAGACAATTATGCTGGGGAAAGTGGAAGGCAAAAAGGAAGAGGGGCCGACCAAGGACAAGATGGATGGATGGCATCCTTGAAGTGACTGGACTGACCTTGAAGGAGCTGGGGGTGGTGACGGCCGACAGGGAGCTCTGGCGTGGGCTGGTCCATGAGGTCACGAAGAGTTGGAGACGACTGAACGAATGAAACAACAACATAAGGCATATATAGTAATAATAATAATAATAATAATAATAATAATAATAATAATAACACTTTATTTGTACCCGCTACCATCTCCCCAAAGGACTCGTTGTGGTGGAGCCCAACACAACAATACAGTATATGAAACACTGAAAGCCAAAACCAAGGTTACAACAACATCTGTTATAGAACTCCAATATACTGATGACAATCATCTGTGCGCATTCAGAAGACCTACAAGCCACTCTAAACACCTTCGCAGAAGCATACGAGAAGCTCGGCCTGTCATTGAACATCGAGAAAACCAAAGTGCTCTTCCAGCAGTCACCAGCCAACCCCTCTCCAATGCCAGAGATACAGCTTAATGGTGTAACATTAGAAAATGTTGACCATTTCCGCTACCTTGGCACCCACCTCTCCACAAAAGTCAACATTGACACTGAAATACAACACCGCCTGAGCTCTGCGAGTGCAGCATTTTTCCGAATGAAGCAGAGAGTGTTTGAGGACTGGGATATCCATAAGGGGCTTGCTTATAAAGCTATTGTCTTCCCAACCCTGCTGTATGCCTGCGAGACGTGGACTGTCTACAGACGTCACATGCAACTCCTGGAATGATTCCATCAGCGCTGCCTCCGGAAAATCCTGCAAATCTCTTGGTAAGACAAGCGGACAAATGTCAGCGTGCTGGAAGAAGCAAAGACCACCAGCACTGAAGCGATGGTCCTCCATCATCTCGGCTGGACCAGTCACACTGTCTGGATGCCCAACCACCATTACCCAAAGCAGTTGCTCTACTCCGAACTCAAGAATGGAAAATGGAGTGTTGGAGGACATGAAAAGAGATTTAAAGATGGGCTCAAAGCCAACCTTAAAAACTCTGGCATAGACACTGAGAACTGGGAAACCCTGGCCCTAGCGCTCCAGCTGGAGGTCAGCTGTGACCAGCCATGCTGTAGAATTTGAAGAGGCATGAGTAGAGGGCAAAAGACAGAAATGTGCCAAGAGGAGAGCGTGTCAAGCCAACCCTGACTGGGATAACCTTCCACCTGGAAACCAATGCCTTCACTGCAGGAGAACATTGTGCTACTGAG